GAACAAACCAAACTAAATATTGCCGTCAAACATGGTGTGTCTGTAATCCAAAGAAACCCCTCTCAGATTAAATTAGTTTTTAAAAGAAAAATCATCCAATMACCATTAAGCTATTCAACGAACCAATCAGAATGCAACTAAAAAAGGCGGGAAAACTACCCCACGATACTTTTCGAAGATTAAATATAGGTTTTAAGAGTTAACTACCTAAAATTTTACCAAAAAAGTTTTGCCCTTGAAATGTTTGAGATTRAGGCTTGAAAGTCTGTTAACGTTTACTTATTTTGAGTTTTAAACATGTTCGCAGCCACGAGCGTCAAGGAGTCGTCATCCAGGAATCGATTCAAATCAAAGTTACATCTTGCAGAAATGATGGCCATGTCTGCGAGAGGAATGGTCTGCGAGAAGGCATAGATGAAGAATCGGTGTACAGTAGAACGTTGTGGAAGGTACGGCGGAAAGTAAACTAGAAATATTAAGAATGAATATTTGGGAAATGAACGTATGTCACATCAGAGTTAGCAAATGATTTCTAGAAACGCGTTACGCACTTTTTCAACACTAGGGTTGGAATATTATTATATATGTATATGTTATATATATATTATAATTGTTATTTTCGAATATATTAGAATTTTTTTTCCATAGTGTAGGATTTTAAAAGTAAATAGTTTAAAAACTTGAAAACTGTGCATAGTTTTTAGGAAGTAGAATATTATATATGTTATTTCATGTCAGTATTAAATTTTATGCTTTATATTAAGAATTTTATGAATTTTACGATTAATCTTGTATACGTACTTTTAAAGGCAAATAGTTAAGCTATAGTCTTTTGATATAACTAAATAAAGTTTGTATCTATTCCTTCCTTCATTCCTTTCTCCTTTCTTCCCTTCCATCCTTCCTTCCTTCCTTCCTTCCTTCACTGCTTCATCTATTATTTAGCTGAAAGCATTTGTAAGCACGTTTCTTCAAACTACCCGCCACAGTAAAAACGGAACGAACTGACGATCGATCCATTGAAAAATCCGATTGGCTTAGCGGATTTCATGACAATCTACATAACAATAAATAACCACWTACATATAACAGATAAAAAATACCTGAAAACACATCTTTGTCTGAATCATCTCCTACTGCCAGTTTCTTTCCCTAAAAAAAAGCATTGAAATATAAGCTTGTACACGGACGTACCCGGCACGACATGGAAAT